GTCCAGTCTACCCTCCAGAAGTAAGTGAACGGTGAGGCCTGGGGGGCTGTGTGCGTCATCTCTGGCCAGGTGGGAAGATAGGCCCAAGGGCGGCTTGTGAGAAGTGGTGGGAAGTGGGTCTTTGCTTTGTTTCCATTTTAAATAAAGTTACCTTAAGAGAGACCGGAAAGATCACTGGTAAGTGGGTTTTAAAGAAACAGATGGGACCAAATTCTTCCCAACCTCCTAGCCCACCCCTGTCCTGCAAATCACACCTGGCACTTTTAAGACCTACCTTTTCCCAGCAAGAAAAGATGGCTTTGAACATCTCTGAGGTTTGTGTGGTTCCATCTTGCTAGAAGAGTCTGTTGCTGACGGCTTTATTTCCTGGTTTCTTTGTGGGGCTGCAGAGGAACATCAAAGGAATAGAAAATGCTGCTAACGCCAGGAAAGCAGGGGTCCCGCATTGTGCAGGAGGAAATAAACCAGGCCCAGGCCCAAATGAACAGAACACATGCATTTGGGAACGGGAAGACAATCATGTTGAGTAAATTTTCTTTGGGGAGACCCTTCACGTTTTCCTGCGTGTAAGGGAGCTGAAACGGTTACAGCCCAAACCCAAAGCTGATCTGGGAGTTCTCGAATCCCCTCTTGCTGTGCAGGCCTGAGAGCCACAGCATTTCACTTTCAATTACTTAATGCTCTTTACTGTTCTTGGGCTTACTTTTTGGCCATCGGTTTTGTCTTCCTAATAGACCCACATCCATGGGACAGAGCTCTCATCTTGTACTTCTGTTCCCCACATAGCATCTGATCCAGGGCAGAACACAAGCTCTTTGCTCAATACTTGGTTAAAAATGCCTTTTTCTCACTCGGGAATCATGATGGAATAAAATCCAGGCTATTGTTAACTTTCATGGTAAGATACTTGGTGGTGAATCTGTATATACCAAGTTGGTGAGTACATATCACAGCAATTAACTGTGGTTAATATCACAGCAATTAACCAGAAGTGAGGATCACTTGGAAGCAGACTTTACGCACTGAGATGTTCACTGCAGTGTTGTTTATAACAGCAAAAGAAGTGGAGACACTTAAGTGTCCCTTGTAGCGGAGGCTGGGTAAATTAGGGTACATCCATACATACAGGGAGATAGTAAGGAAGCAGCTCTTTTGAAATATAGGGTAGAACCAAATGTTCAAAAATGATATCCAAGAGAAGTTAGATGGTATGATGCAATTCGTGTAAAAAGGAAAAGGGATGCATGCACATGTGTGGTACATACATAGAAAAAATTTGGAAGAATACGCAAGAAACTTCGTATTGGTTATGGCTGAGGAATGGCAAGTAAGGGTGGGTGCTTTTATCTGTTAATTTTTCTGTCAGTGGTTGAATTTTTTTTATCATGACTCTATTGTTTTTATAAAAATTTTTTTTTTTTAAAGCAACTAGTTAGAAAAACAAGCTATTTTTGGATGGCAAGGAGAAAAGTTAACTCTAAAAGATGCCCTTCCCAGGGTGGGGATCTTGGGGGTGAGGCAGAGGAGGGTGAAGTGGGGTGGGGACAAGTCAAGTGGTAATTGGCTCTCTCTGCTCCCTTTGTGCTGGCCTTCTCTGTCCCATGAGGTGGAGACCGCTTTGAGAATGGGAATTTTCTGAATCACAGCCTATGCAGTGACTGAAGTTAGAACTTCCAGGACATTCACTGACCCTGCCACAGTCACCACTGACCCCCCCCCGCCCCCACCCCACAGCATCTGACACAGTGCCGACCACATAGTTAGGGACTTCACGGTTGGGGGGCAAATCAGGGTACTTTCTCACAAATCAGCAATGGCTCACCACTGCTTATTGTATGAAGTTCACATTTACCACGGCTCAGCCTTGAAGGCTTTTCTGTGATCAGCCCCAACGTTTTCAAACTCACAGGCTACAACTTCTCAGTATCTATCAGCATATATACCAGCCCTGTGTGGCTTCAGATCCTGGGTTTGCAACTTACCATTTTGTGCTCAGTGTCCTCCTCTGGGAAATGGGGAGGATGTTGACAGCACCCACATCATAGTGTGGACATGGGAGTTGAATGAGTGAATGTACATAAATGCATGTAGAAGGGTGATGGGCACCAAGAAGGCACTACTTCAATGTTGCCCCGTCTATCAGGCCTCCCTCCCCTCACTCCATGGTTCTGGCTGGAACACTTTTCTGGCTCAGTCCTACCCATCTTCCAGTGTCAGGCAGTGTCTAATCCCTAAACCCCCAGGAAGCAGTGGTTCTTGGACTTTCAGAATCACGTGGGGACCTTGGCAAAATGCAGATTCTTGGGCTGGACTCCTAAAGACTCCTCGGAAGTCTGCAGTGTGGCCCAGAAACCCAAATCCGGGTGACACCCATACGTGTTGTGTGGGGCCACCACAGGTGAAGCAGATGCTAATGGGGCTTCTTCTTCAGACCAGCCAGTGGTGTGTTCCCATCTTTCTTGTGGCCCTTCCCAACCTAACAGACGTCTTGGCCTTGGGCCAACTGTCTAGACATGTGGCAAAATGGATCATTTTCCCCAAGCATCAGGCAGATGCCTGGTGGGGTCAAGCATGCTTGGGAAAGGAGAGCCCCCTTGGAGAAAGGGGCCTGGGTGTCCTCACTGGAAAGGCCTATAAAATGCCCTGACGGACTAAAGCCTCCATTGAAAAAGACATTTTCTTTCCTCAAAACCCAAAAGCTTCATGTTCCTAGCAGCTCCCACATTTTGTTTGCACATCGAGCTCTGTGAAAGAAGGTTTGTGCTGACATCCCCCATGTTCCCCTTCTGGAACTCCGTAGGCTACTTCAAAGATGGGCTCAAAAGGTTCTATTTTGTTATTTTTTAAAGTTTCCTGAAAGTGTAAGAATCAAAAGGGAGTGAAAGCTTCTGGGGGTAAACAGGAAACCCTCCCTGCTCCCTAACTCTGCCCAGGGAACCTCACAGACTTCCTGAAGTGAAAACAAACACCGTGACCAGTTTCTACTCCTTGCAAGAATTTAATTCTTCCTTCAATATAAATAAGGCAGCACGAAACACCGAGAATTCTGCTGCTTTCTGCTTCAGAAGCAGCTTTGGTGCATAGAAGATCCAGCAGGAAGGAGGCGATCTGTAGGCAACTGTCCTGCTGAGTTGTCATCTCTGGACAAACAAGAGGCCAGGAGGTCATTTTTCAGTGAACTTTCTCCTGGAAGCCAAGGGGAGGCCGAGGGAGGTTCACGCTTGGTCTCAGCTTCTAGAGTCTGGTGTCCGCCTGTGGGGTCTCCTCCAAACACAACAACATAAGGATAAGGGGGTGGGGGCAGGCAAGGCATGGGCAGTAATAAATACGGACATTCACCCCGATTCTGGAAACAAATCACAACTGAACGAGGGGCTTGGGGCTATTGCTGGGGGCCATACTGGTATGATCCTTCCCAGCGCTGGGGAGACAAAGACCCAAGTCTGCGCGGTCTGACTCCAGCTCACACCGAAGGGTTCCTATGGCCTCAGTGCCCCATCACAGCTGAGCCTCCTGCTGCAAGTGAACCCTGTCAGGCAAATCGTCCATCTTCCAAAACCCCTGGGGCCAGGTCAGAGCACTCCTGGATGAGGGACAGGGTCCTCTGCAGCTCCTGGTGAGCCCGACACCCCCATGGAACAGGGTATGCTGCTCGAAGGCCTGCCCAGCTTAAACCCTGGAGGGGAACCCAGGTGCACTCATTCTTGCCTCTCCCTTGGCTTGCTGGAAGGGTCAGTAAGGCAGTACCATGGGAGGAATTCCCGAAGGGACAGGGAAGCCACAAGTGGAGAAGTGGCTTCCCAACTGCCCTACCCAGGTCTGGAGATGGGCTAGGTCCCACCGCAGGCTCTGGCGCCTGTCCCGTGACCGCAGCCCCCAGCAATGTCGAGGTGATCTCTTTGGGGCTTGGGGGCTGGGTCGGCACTGTTGTCCCTGTGTGTCCCCAGGTGGCTGAGCCTCTTTGGGTCTTGCTCATCTGTGTGGCCAGCAAGACCCATCCAGAAATGGGAGGTTCTGTGCCACGAGGGTGCCCCACTGGAGTGAACAGGTCTTGGGAGCAACAGATAGAGCTAGGTCTCCTCTTGCCTGCAGGCATGCTTGATTCTAGGACTGTGACGCCGCTGAGGAGCACTCCAGCCTATGGCATCCCTCCCTCACTCCTCAGCTCTGCCGTCTTCTCTGAACTGGGCATCAGAGGCAGACCCCAGCACCCTGGGGACACGTTCTACCCTGCGCCCCAGTCACCCTGTGTCTCTTGCATCTTCTGCCTTCAGTACCTGCCCTCCCTCAGCACAGGCATGGCCAGAGACCAGCTGTGGAACTTGTCCCCACTACGGTGCTCAGGGCACAGCACACTGTGGGAAGGGGTTGGGGAAAGGAGTCTACCCTGAGTGAGACATGTAGCTGGAAAAGTGGCCGACGGAAACTTCTCTCTGCCACCAAGTATCCACTTCTGGGCAACAGACATTGGCCCCTTGGGGCCTTGAATCTCTTCTAGTCTTTTCTCCAAATAGTTTAAAAAACGGCAGCTGCATTTGGACGCTAGTAGTGCAGGCTGTGGATGGAAGGTGGCAAATTCCCACAACTGTCCCTGTTGGTGCCTTGGCTGCGATGCCTGGGGTCAAGCATTAGTGGGGACAGGCTGCAGGGTCTTAACATGCACCCCCGCCGGCATCCCTGCAGATCCCCTGTTGATATTTAAGTCAAGCCTGGACCCGGGATGTCAAAAATGATGCCCGAATCGATGTTTGCGTTGTCTTCAGCTCGGTGTCCAGAGAGGATTTAGTCATCCTCTTGGCCGTTTGTGGTGATCCAAAAGTAAGACGCAAAGGATCAACCCAACCCAGACACAACCTCACCAGCAGGCCCCAGTGGCATGAAAGCAAACCAGCTCGGCCAGCTTGGAATCCTGTCTCCTCTGTGCCGTGGGGCCTGGCTTCCCCAGTGGGCTGAGCTGTGGCGCCCTACAAAGCCCGCCGTTCTCCCAGGATGGGGCCTGCAGGTGCCCCCAGAGGTGTGGGCCCACGGGGTGCCCTGCGTCCTGGCCCCCGGGTCCTGTCCGCCCTACAAGATAACAGCTTTGTGGGGCAGGCTGGCATGGTCTGCGGGGATATGGAGGGAGTACTCGCTAATGAGCACCGGGGCATTCTTGAGCATCTCGTAGAAGGAGTCCACCGTCTTCCGGTAGAGACTCCGCTGCAGGACGAAGGGCCGGAAGAGGTTGAGAGGCTCGGCCCTGCGAATGGCCTCAGGGAGTCCCATGCCCTCGGGCGCCTTGCGGTTGCCGATGAAGAAGTGATAGAGTTTCTTCTCCAGCAAGCTCTTCTCCAGGAAGCGGAGCAGCTCGTGCAGGCGAGCGTCCAGCTGGCTGGCCTTCCAGTCGGCCGGCCGCCGGGACAGCAGGAGGTGCAGCAAGGCGGTCTTCAGGTGGTAGCTGCTCAGGCCGCTGGGGCCAGTCAGGCGGCTCTGCTTGGACAGCAGGAAGGAGGCGATCTGCAAGCAGCTGAGGTGGCAGGCCCCCTCGGGCAGCGCCTTCGAGGTCATCCGGAGGAAGTGTCGCTCATAGACGGCAAAGGACAGGAGCCAGTCGGTGCTGGACGCCGGGGTCTCCCCGGACGGCTCCCTGGGAAGGTGGGAGACGAAGTACAGGTCCGAGTCATCGCACTGGATCACAGGGATCAGGTTGAAGGGCATGAACTTCCCCGAGCGGAACCTGATCTTGAGGGAGCCCGGGGAGTCCAGCTGACTGAAGGCCAGGTCGAACTCGTACTTGTGGGCAATGCGGTGCCAGGCTCTGGTGAGCGCCGTCTGGAACCACGTCATGACCCGCAGCGTGTCCAGGTACGGGGAGCCTCCAGCGCACAGGAGGGTCTCCGGCTCGCTGCCGGGCCACGCCGGGCCATTCCTGCCGTGGAGGAGACACAGCATGTCCTCCCCCAGCGTGGTCTTGCCGCAGACGCAGCCCCGCGCATCCTCGGTGGCCCGCACCACCTCGATCCGGCCATAGCCCTGGCGGCCCAAGGGCACGGGGCGGCGGGCGCAGCAGAGCTCTGGGCGGAAGTGGTAGGGCTCTGGCGGCAGGAAGGGCACGAAGAGGTGGCAGAGCAGCGGCTTGTCCACCTGCCAGTTCTCGTACATGCTGTCCACGCCGATGAAGTCCTCCACCTCCATGTCCGTGTCCCGGTTGCAGAGGCTGCGCAGGGCCTCCAGCAGGTCATCCACGAAGCCTTCCACGAACTCTCGCGTGCGGGCCGCATCGGCCGTGGCGCCCCGAATGCAGCGTTCGGAGAAGCGCTCGAGCGCGGCCTTGCTGGGCAGGGTGAGGCCCCGCAGCGGGGCGCCCTCCAGGCCGGGCAGCTCGTCCTCGTCCCCAACAGGACACTCCGGGGAAGGCCCGTCCTGGTGGTCCTGCCGCCACACCTCGATCACCAGGAAGAGGATCATGCAGAGGGTGCTCCACAGGTCCCAGGCCGTGCGGGCCTCGTTCTGCTGTTGGCCCTCCTCCGCCAGCCGCTCCAGGGCCTCCTCCTCTGCCGCCAGCCTGGCCGCCTCCTCCTCCAGGCGAAGCTGCTCCAGCTGCAGCTTCTCCTGGTGCGCCTGCATCTTGAGGATGATCTCCTCCTCGCTCTCGGGGACCGTGGCATTCTCCCGCGGGAACAGCAGCGGATGGTTGATGATGGCTGTCACCACCACCAGACACACCCGGAAGAGCCCCAGGGCCATGGCTGGAACTTTCCTGCTATACAGAGACGTGGATCAGGATCAATGGTCACACCCAGCGTCCGTGCACCCCGCTTCCTCCCCGGACCCTCACACCAACCTCTGTCCCACCGGTCGATCTGTCCCACCCAGTGGATGAAGTTCTCACGGTCCTCCTGCCTGGCCCACAGTCCCCACCCCTTGTACTGCAGCATAGCCTTGGAAGAAAGAACTGCAAAGTCCTTGCACACCAGCAATCCTGGCTGAGTGACTCGAAGAGGCTGTCCTGTTTCTGTCTGCCCAGTCCTTCCGCCTTCCGGAAGCGGCGATGCACTTTCCCCAGGAGCCAACCCTTCTCTGGCCCACGTCCTATGGCTTGGGTGGGGATAACCCCACCCCCAGATACAGGGGTGAACATATAACCCAGGCCCAAGCCACTCCACACCCCCGCCTCCACAGTGTGGATTCAGCCAGAAGCACAGGACCTCCCTCCGGCCAATGGGAGGGACACAGAAGTGGGATTTCCTGGGACTGATGGGGAGAAAGACTTGGTTTGCCAGGGAACAGGATCACAGCTTGGGTGGAGGGAGACGACTCTCTATACTTCAAAGGGGGGTTTGCTTGAGAAAGATGCCAATATAGACAAAAGCAGTTTCCCTGGACCCAGCTATGCCTAAAGCCATTGCTTCTGGAGTTTTAAATATTTTATTTATTTATTTGACAGACAGAGATCACAAGCAGGCAGAGAGGCAGGCAGAGGGGGAGGTGGGTGGGGGGAAGCAGGCCCCCTGCTGAACAGAGAGCCCGATGTGGGGCTCCATCCCAGGACTCAGATCATGACCTGAGCCGAAGGCAGAGGCTTAACCCACTGAGCCGCCCAGGTGCCCCTGCTTCTGGAGTTTTAAAGTCATATAAATCAATAATGTTTTCACTTTAAGTCAGTTTGAGTTGTTTTCTCTACTTCAACCCACCTCTCCCCAGTGAAGTCCTTGTGGTTAAGAACAAGAAGGTGGAGTTCCAAGGCCAGCCTTGTCACTGGTCAGCTGCGCGCCCTAGGGCACGTGAGCACACCTCTCTGAGACCCAGTTTCCTCACTGGATGAGAGGAAAGCCATCGTACACCCAAGGGTCACAGTACTGAGGGACGTGGTGACCCACGCAGAATGTGTTGCGGCACAGTCAATGGTACAAAACATAGGTTCACTGAACAGCAAATGTTTCTGAAGCAGTTTTGGGCCCTTGTCGTCTTCTACTGTAAACCTCTCCTTTTGATTTGTAAGATCTCAGTCCAAATTCAGACACTGACCTCCTGGCCTTCTCCTGGGTCTCTCCCCAGGGCAATCTTGGAGAAAACCAGAGTGACCGAGTCACTGGATTTCCTTTCCTGAGTTGTCTAAACATTAAATCTGACTTCTTAATTGTGAAGGGAGACACTCCATTCCTCCAGGACAAATGGATTTTTTAGCTCTCAAATGATCTCAAGGGAAGGGCTAATCCCTTACAATCATGGGAGTTAGATACACAGAACCTCGGCCCCATCCCAAACCAATGGAACCAGAAGCTGCATTTTGATACCATCCACATTAACGTCTGACAGCCACAGTCTTACAGGGTAGGCCTTACATTATACCCTCTCCTCTCCCAGGCGGGAACCTTGGGGAATAGCAGGGACCTTTCCCATACTTGCCCAGCCCCCTTTCTGCCTAGGACTTCAGCGAGGACAGCAGATGGCCAAATGACACAGTGGGACAGCAGAGAACACAGAGGGCCCCCGACCCCCTGTAAGCCACAGCATGCTGATACGAGCTTCTCCACTCTGCTTGAGCCCCATTCCCTAACCTTGAATTTACACCCTTAAAACCATTTGTTCTGGTTCTTACCCTAATGGTGCCAAGGAACAGGGATGTGGCATCAGGTAAAACACATCTGCAGGTTCTAGCCAGCGAGGCCAGGATGTACATGACCTGAGTTGCCACCTGTGGGTAGAGCCTGCCGCTTAGATGTGATTCCATCCCGTACACAGCTGGACTCACAAGCAGGAACCAAAAGCGGGTCCACCGGCAGCAGAATTCAGCAAACACACACATTCAGGCCTCAGAGGTGAACTTGAGGAGGAGACAGAGGGCAGGAGAAAGTGTAGGAAGTCAGGCCGGAAGGGGTGTGGGGTGAGGAAAAAGTCCAGGGGGAAGCTAGCCAGCTTTTCTTCCCTATGACGAGGAGCGGCTTGCTAGATAATTGCAGAAGCAGGTCAGCCCTGGTTTCCACATGAGGGAAACTTCAATGGAAAGTTTTGCCAGGGTGGTCCGAGCCAAAGCCGCGAGGCTGGCTTCTCAATGTGGATCAGGGTTTTAAGATCAAGGCACGTGGGGCTAAGCACAGCACCAGACAGAAGCCCGTTGGGAGAGAATTTGGAGGTTCTGAGGCCCTTGAGGGCCTCTGTACTACAGGCAGCCCCCTTTGGGCCCAGTAGACCCCGACAAGTCACAGTCCCAGGCGTGGGCAGCCCCTGACCAGCCTCCATGCCAGCTCAGGGTAGGAGGCCAGCCAGTGAGGAGTGGAGCCATCGTCAAGACTTAAGACCATGAAGTCTTCCTCCTCTCTCCCTACCAGCTTCCCCAGGGCTACCTGTGGGCACCCTTGTGCCTTGTTCAAGGGCTCTAATGGCCTCCTTATACTGGGAGAGGCGACGTTCAAATCCCCAAACCAAGTGGGGCCATTGACTCTGTATGCTAGGGGTTAAAAGGATGGATTCTGGAGTAGACAAGACAGGGCTAGAAGTCAGCACGGGCACGTACTAGCCATGTGACCTTGGACAAATCACTCAACTTCTCAGGCCCTCAGTCTCTTCATCTGTGAAATGAGCATAATCATCCCTGAGGTTGTAAAGCTTGAACAGGATCATGCATATAAAGCCCTTGGCAAAATGCCTGCCCCTGTGGGAGTTTTCTCATGAAAGGGTGTCTGTGATGGGACAGGGAAACGCAGTGACCCTGCTGGTAGGGGTTCTTGAGGGGAGCACACAGACGCCCCCACAAGGGACTCTGGCAGGATGCGAGCAGTAACACCGACAGGAGTAGGGTTACGCATACACACACCAGAGCACAGAGCTTGAGGGAGATGGGCTGGGCTGATAAAGCGGGAGGAGCCTGGGCTCTAGAAACAGACAGGCCTGGGTTTGAAACCTGACTCTGCTCCTTGCCAAGGGGTCTTGCTTCTCCAGGGCTCCAGGGCTTTCCCTCAGAGACAGAGCTATCAGCAGACCCTCCTTCCTAGGAAGGCAAGAGTTACGGGAGAGAATCCATTTCAGGTGCTGGGAGCAGATGCGCTTGCATATTCACTCCTTCCCCCCTAGGCCTCCCCAGGCCTCTATCTTCTCACCTGCTAAGCACACCAGCCCTGCCAAGTCCCGGGGGTGTGGAGGAAAGCACGCTCAAAAGTGCTTTGAGAGCACAAAATGCTCCTCTAGTGTAGCTGTCCCTTGGCACACCACTCTGCCCACCCTGCCCCCCAGCAAAGGGGAGAGGCCTTTGGAGCCTTGGATCCTCCTGGAGGTGGAGCTCTGACTCACTCTTTACTCAAAGCAACAACTCCCTCCCAGGGATCAGATGAACTCCCAGGTGTCTTTTAGCTCCTTTAAAATCTGGACCGGCAGGCTCTGCCTGTGGATGGGGAATGGGATGAGGCCACTCATTGATCACTAGATGGGACCAAGTTGGAACCTCTACTTCCCCTTCCCAAACCAAGCCACAGGGAACACTGCCCTGGGGGCCACGGGGCCAGAAGAATGAGAAGGAACCAGAGTGGTGTGACTTTTATTGGAGATCATGGGGACAGACCGGTACCTGGGAGCCTCTCCTCAAACCATGGATACAGATGCATGTACACACACACACACCCCTTCCCCAAGGACCCTGTTCCCCAATTTCAAAACTGTCCACCTCTGCCTTGGCCCAAGGCTCTTACCCCTACTGAAGCTGCCTCATACGTGTAGCCCAAAACACCCAGTTGGGTTCTGCTTAAAAATGAACTTGGGTCACTCGGAGGGCTTTGTCTGTCTGCTTGCCAGGAAGCCGGCAGGAAACCTGCTGAGTTCCTCTCCACCCCCGCCCCTGTCCACAGAGCGTGGTGGCCCATGCAGGTCACAGCTAAACTTAGCCTGGCAAAGAGCCAGTCACGAGGCAGCAGGGGCTGGGCCAGAGGGCTGCAGGTGGTCAGGCCAGCCAGTGGTTTTCTCAGACCTTTATTCTGCGCCTGGCCAGAAGCCTCAGACTCTGGGGAAGAAGCCCCAGATGGCCTCTCTGTTCCCTGGGCTCTGTCACTCTTGCATCCCCCACAGCCTCCCAGCACCCCAATCAGAGCTTGATCCAATGAATGCCATGCGGAGTTGTCTAATAGAGATATGCCTCCGTTGATCAAGCCTTCACTAGGACGTCCTGGGTGCACAGTGACCCCCTATAACCGAAGTGGGTGTTATCCCTGCTTCACAGGTGGGTAAACCAAGCCCAAGAAACAAAAAGCCATTTTCTAGCCACACGACTAGAAAAGGCACAGGTGGGTTGAGATACAGTCTGTTCTGTTTCCAGCTGGAAAGCCCAAGTTCTTTCCACGGTGCTGTTTCCTGAGCACCTACTGTGTGCAAGGAACATGCTGGATGCCACAGGGCTCACACAGCACAGGAGCCCAACATGATCCCAGGCAGGAAGAACAGCACCACCCACACGTGGAGGCAGAGAGCCACCAAGGATGTCACAGGACTGAACGGGCTGGGAATGTTAATGGCGCGTGAGCAGCAGGGGACAAGAATGCAGAGAGAGTCTCATTTCTGTTCTTTGGGGGCCCCTCTTTGTCTGTGGACTTTCCCTGTGTTCACTGGCTGGGGAGATGTGGCTGTGCGAGCCTTTGGCTCCAGTCCACATAGCCCCCTCCTTCCAGAGAGAATTCCTATAGCAAAGCCGAAGAGGGGAGAGCCTGTGTTCATCCACACTCCAGACCCATCACCCACCTACCCCCACCCGGGGCTGGCTGGCTGGCTGTGGCCTCA